GGGGGGGGGGGTCAGTGATGGCGGCTGCAGCTGGAGCCGACAAAGCGAAAGCAAAAGCAAGCTCAGCGCTGCCGCTCTCGTCGCGTATCGCGATTCACGAGAGTTTGTACCGAAAAAAAATAAAAAATAGACGATTGAGCAGCTAGCCCTGTTCGATAAGTATTGGCCAGGCTCAAAGGCGCGCCGCCACTAGCCGCCGCCGCCGGCCCCGCGCACTGCTCGTGGGAGGATCAGATCGCTCGCTGGCTTCGCTCTTTGTGCAGGCCAAAAAGACGGCGGCGGCCGCGACGGCGGTCTATCTGACGAGGAAATGATTACACTCTTGGTCGGGGAAAAGAGAAGAGAAGAGGAGAGGAGCTGGAGGGGGGGCTCTAGCGGGCAAGTCGGTCGGAATGCATAGCTTAGTCGCCGGGCGGCGGCAGCGGGACGCGTTAGCGTTTAGGACCTCGATAAGGCCTCGGCGGCGGGGAGTGTGGAGGTCACCGTGGCGGCCACGCCAGGGCGCGGGCGGGCGGACAGAGCGCTGGCTGCACCAGGAGGGGGAGCTGTTGAGAAACCACGTGGGCCCCGCGAGGTGTCCCAAAAGGATCAGGACGGTTATTAGAGTCGATTGGGAAACCATGAAATGATGATATGTGTACAAACGGTACAAATGTTATGGGGTCCCAATAGGATCAGGAGCCAATTAGTTTTTGATCGGGGCCCCATAATATTTGTACCCCAATAAATATTAGGGGGTGTACTACATGGACTCCATTTGCGGTCCTGATCCATGATATTTGGATCGCCCCACACGATTTCAGAACAGACCCGGGAACGCCAACCCACGGCCGCCAACGACGAGTGCGTGTGCCTGGGAGGCGGTGCGGGGGCGGTGCGGGGGCGGCGCGGGGGCGGCGCGCGTCCGTGGCCGCCCCCAGGAGCGATTGCACGCTGTGATACGGACTCGTGATGCGCGCGGTATACGTCCCTCCTCTCGGAGGGCTGAGCGAAGGACGCGAAGCGCGGCGGCGGCGCGGGACGGAGAAGGGATGTTGGATGGATCCCCTTCTCGCTCCTGACGGCAGCCCGCGGGAGTGGCCCGAAATCCCTGCTGTGTCCGCCCCCCGCGCCGCCCCCGCCGTCGCGACCCCATTCCCAACAAAACAAGCCGCGCTGGTAACCCCAAAAATTGAGTTGTCGCGGGCGGAGGCGAGGCGCGGTGGCTCAGCGGTGGGGGTGTCCTCCACGCCCCCTTCCCCCTTTAGGAATTGGCCGAAGCCGTTTCCCTTCGCCCGCCATGGGACAATGCCTCTTCGGCGCGGGGGAGAGGAAATCGGAGCGCAAAGAGGAAGGAGGGTATATAGGGGTCGAGGCCGGGCCGGCCAGAGAGAAATCCACAATCGATTCGAATATGAAATTTGATGGGTTAGAGAAGGCGGACGGCCTTCTCGCCCGCGACCCGGAGGGGTCCGCGCGGAGGGGCCCCGGAGGGACCGCCTGCCCGAGCGCACGAAGACTTTTTATTTCTCGTTCACTTTTTGTTTTATATCCCTTTTCTTTCTTTCTTTTCGGCCGTACCCGACAAAGTCAAAGTGTCGCGCTCGCGATCCTCTTGACCGCGGCGGAAGCGATAAGAGAATTGCCCAATTTGTAAAAAGGCAAATGGGGATATTTCGCAAAAAAGAGAGAGAGAGAGAGAGAGAGAGAGAGAGAGAGAGAGAGAG